CTTATTCAGTGCTTATCCCCGGAACCTAGGACAGTGTCGAATAGTGACACAGAGTAGGTCCTGCTAAATAGTTATTTGAATAAATGTGAGTGTCCTTTGCAAAATTTTACTTCCAGAACTTCAATCTCTCTTTCTGTCTCTAATCTATTGACTTTGACCTGCCCTCCTGGAATCCATTCACATGAATGAAAATGAATAAACAAATCTCTTCAAGGTCCCGCATTCTAAAGGGTAGAGTATCACCAGCTCTGCTGATGACAGAGGGAGAGAGTGGCATAAATCCATGTCCCCTCCCACTGCTGTCCGGCCTCCACTTCTCTGAGAGGCTGACACTCTCATGGAACACAAGACTGGAAGTTCTCAGGTCCCTTTGCTATAGTCCCTTCGGTTCTGTCCCTACACCTACACAATGTTGCAATTTATCTGCGGGATATTCATCTTTTAATCCTTGGCAGCCAACAGGAAGATCCTGGGGTCACTGTGAAGACAGAAGACACCATGGCTGTGAGTAAATGCAGCATCACGGAGACCGAGTGGGCTGTGGAGGCTTGGGGTCTAACCCCGGCTCCGCTGTGACTAGCTGTGTGACGTTGGACACATCACCTGAGCCCACTGGGCCTATGTGGGATGAGGGGCCTGGACGGAATTAGTGGTTCTCAGCTGAGCAGGGATGGGCCAGTTAGAATCCTCTGTGGGACTTTTACAACTCACACAAGGGCCAAAATACGGGATGAGGGAGAACTGTGTATGCTGAGAAAGACCCTACAGGTGAGGGCCATTAGATTACAAATTAGGGTTAAAAGGACTGGCCAAATGGGACCCACAGAAGTACTCTGCTTGGCCATGAAATACTTCAAATCTCTGAATTTGAATGGTTTCAAGTGGGGAGAGCAGCTCTCTACAACCCCCACCAGACTCATTCACCCTCCTGTGTTACCTGTCTGGCCCCTGACACCTGTGATCCCTGCACTAGAGAACGGATAAGGTCTTCTCTAGTTTCTTTACTCCACAGATGAAAAACATTCTGAAGTCCTTACTGGCTATAACATTCTATGACTCCACATGGCTTTGCTTTTAGGCTCTGAGCACACTCTCTCTCTCTAAGGAGAGTCTCTGAAATTCTCTTTGTAGCAGTAAGAAATGCTAAACCAATAGGGGCCTTGTCCCTTCTTCAAGCTATAAATTCAAAAGAGACTATAAGACCTACTAATTCTACTGCTAGACGTGCTGGTGGTTGGGACAAGAGGGATCCTGACCCCAGTTGTGAGATGCCAGCACAGTGAGAGAGTGTGGTAGACAGGGTTATTATTCCTAATGCTTCACTCCTGCTAATTCTTCATATCCTTGCATTGTGTCTTTGTAGTTTCTTACACTAACAGGCACAAATTATTCCCCTGTCCCACCAGTGTTGGAGTCAGTCATACAGTTTTCTAAGACAAATGGGATATCAATGGACACGATGTGAGCAGAGACTTCACTGTATTTTCCTGATTTGGTTTAGACTTTCCCACTCCTGAGGGATACCTTGAGAAAAGCATGACCCAAGAAGCTGCTGCTCCTGTAGTCGGGACATGAAGAGCTGACCTGCACCAGGTTGCAGCCTAGACCAGCTCCCCCACCAACTGAAACAGAACCCTCCTCAGTTCAGTTCAATCACTCAGTGGTGTCCAGCTCTTTGCGACCCCGTGGACTGCAGCACGCCAGGCTTCCCTGTCCATCACCAACTCCCAGAGTTTACTCAAACCCATGTCCATCGAGTATGTGATGCCATCCAACCATCTCATCCTCTGTCGTCCCCTTCTCCTCCTTCCTTCAATCTTTTGATAATCAGGGTCTTTTCAAATGAGTCAGTTCTTCGCATCAGGAAACCAAAGCATTGGAGCTTCAGCTTCAGCATCAGTCCTTCCAATGAATATTCAGGACTGATTCCCTTTAAGATTGACTGATTTGATCTCCTTGTAGTCCAAGGGATTCTCAAGAGTCTTCTTCAACACCACAGTTCAAAAGCATCAACTGTTTGGC